TATATATATATATATTTAAACAATTTTTGCATTACAGGAGCATAAGTTTATGGAAGTTGAAGTAATTATATGTCCACTAAATAAAATAAAGACTTCAATGTACTTACGAATGGAGTTGCCTTTTACAATATTATGTTTATTATGTAAAAAAAGCAGTAAAAAAATATAAACTATCTACAAAAATTTTTAACAAAAGTTTTTAAGTATGAGCAATCTATTCTAACTCGGACGAACTTTTTATTTTATATAATAAAAATACTGTAAATGTTGTATAATTTTCAGATGACACGGTAGCAATGGGTCAGATCACGTACGTAAATTACAATGGCGAGTTGGTGCTCGCCACCGAAGAGTTGATAAGGAAGTTAGAGGAAGAAGATGTTACCTGGCATTGGACTCCATGGCTGCGTACCAGGACTAAGATACACGATAACGAACTCATGGAAATAGACTGCATCGATCGGAACGCTCTTGAGAGTTTTCCTCCTTCAATATTCACAGGTTAGTGTAGATTTTCTTGCGTTATCATTTTTTGTTCATTAAACGTTGAAAATATTGTAGGTATATAATATATTAACTAATTAAGGTATATAAGGTATATAATATAAATAATAATAAATAAAAAAACGTAAATAAAATTGCAATTGCTTAAGGAAAATTAGTGTTCTATAATTCATTTCATGTTTTCTTGCAATATTATCTGTAATTATCTTTTCTTTTATTTTTAGACGATCAGTTGAGGAAAGGCGGCTTTCTCTGTTACGTCCTTTTTGTAGTGTATTTATTCACACTACTAGGCTATATTTGCAACGACTATTTCATTCCTTGCGTCGAAATGATATGTGAAGATTTGAATATACCAAAGGTTAGTGTACTAGATCGAAAACATTGTTGACGCTGAAGCTGCGTGTCCTTCGGATATAAATTGTACCAAAATTATTTCTGTGTACATATGTAGGTCGCTGCCACAGTGGCAAGTGTCTTTTCCACTTTTTGTATTTTTTTGACTAGATTATTTTAAGGTGCATAGAAGTTGTAAATGACATATATTTTTTTCAATTTTCAGAATGTGGCTGCAGCCACTTTCATGTCCGTAGCTACTTCGTGCCCCGAATTCTTCGTAAATGTAATCTCCACATTCCTTACCGATTCTGCTATGGGTATCGGTACCATAATGGGCTCAGCAATATTCAATACACTCGGTGTGGGTGCTATTGGCGGTTTAGCTGCTATTTTTGTAAGTATATTGTAATGTAAAATTAAAAAATAACAAGATAGTAAATGTTAAATCAACGACAAATGAATGATTGTTAGCTTACCGTAACAATAGCATGAACTGATATTTGACCCCAGTCGCAATTCACAAAATGCATAATAAGAAAGATTATAATTATTTACTTGGATTATTATTAAAATGCTTACATTTAGAAAAGGGTTGATTTTCTATCCAACTCAATAAACTATGACACTTTTAATATTTTCAGCCAATTGCAATTGAGTGGAAACCTGTGACTCGTGACGTTATCATTTATATAGTGAACGTGAGCGTTCTGATGATTGTAATCTGGGACGGTCAGGTGGACTGGTACGAGGCAATGGTGCTGTTCATCTTGTACATTTTGTACTTCATTATCATTTTCAACAGCGCTAGGATTTTCTCGTTGGTTGCATTTGTTTATGGAAAGTGCTGCAATTGTAACAACAATCTTGAAAGTAGGTGGTCTTCCTTTTATCATTGCAATATTAATTCAATTTAGGAGAATTAATTCATTACGAAAAGTAGGAACTTTTCATAGTGAATAATTTCTGCACTAACTGCTGTTTGCCAATTTATGATTAGGTATTTGATTGATTAGGTATTATGATATAGGTAATTCAGTATTCCTGAATTTGCACTTGCATTTCTATGTATATATGTTATAACATTCAACAATCTCGAAGTCACGGATATAAACGCACTGTTTTTGTTATGATTTTTTAATTATTTAAAATTAAATTGAAAAGTCCCATGTGCCTGTGTACCGTTACACATCAAAACCGAAACAGAGTAATGCTCACATTACTGTAAATGTAATCTTCTTTACTTCCGGGAAACCCTAATGTATTTCCCGGCAGACATAGGTAAGGTGGCAGTACTTCCCTGGACGAATTTCACAAGAAGCTCTACTGTTACTAAATGTTTCGTCGGTGATGTTTGATTGGCGAGCTTCTCTAATTCGGCAATAGAACGGACTTCCAGCTGTCGTTGTCTCTTTGAACTGGTACCAATATCTACCTGGGAATCTTTTTCTTAGCCATTACGAATTTGTTCTCTTCTTTAAGTGTGAGTTACCAAGCCTCCCAACCGTACATAAGTGTCAGCCTTACGGTGATCTGTTAAATCCGAACGTTGGCTTGACGGCTAAGAATCATAGACCATCAACAAAGCGACACTGATAATCTTACGTAGTGTAAATAAAACTCTTATTGATGTTACAGCACTTGTTATTTAAGCAGCACTAGATCTTCTTATGAAAGAGTTCGTCCAGGGAAGTACTGCCACCTTCCCATTTTTGCCGCCAAGCAGTAATGTCAACATTGCTATGTTCCGGTTTTAAAGGCTAAGAGTGCTGATAAAATTACAGGCACAAGGGACTAGGCAACTTATGTATGTCTCAGAGTAACGGGTGCAGTGGCAGTGCCACTCAGACGTTTCCGATTTAAAGCTCTGCAACTGTTATGGAGAGGCGTGTAGCTTACGATTAGGCACACGACTAGTTCTTTCCGTCACTTGATATTATATAAAAAAAATTATTGTTTTGTAGGTGTATTCTATATTTGCCTTAAATTAAACTTTTCAAGACTAATTAAATTTTTATTGAATTGATATTCAATTCTTTTTTGTGAAATTACTCCACTAGTTTGTTATAATTATTAATACAAAGATCGAACACTCAGACTTTTATCAATCAGTACTTTTAACTTATTATCAATCAGTCAAAGGATTCATCAGCATCACAATAAATAAATACTTAATAACAAATAAATTCAATGTGTTACAACTTATTTAAAATTAAAATGGCAGTATAATGATACTTTTCACATAATTAATTCTAATATATACTTGTGTTTAAGACAAAGTAAACTAGTCTTGAAAACTCAGAAAAAATTCCTTCTATCCGGTCGGATTCGAACCGACGTCTTCTTGAATACCGTGCCAGACGATATACCTACTAAAAGCCACGGAACGAACCAACGGACCTCACGAATTTTTCTATGTGCTTGCGTCGTGTCTTTGTATTTGGTTTTTCAACGACTTTTTAGTCGTAGCGCCCTCTTTGTATTAATATTTATAACAAACTAGTGGAGTCATTTCACAAAAATAATTGAATGTCAATTCAATAAAAATTTAAAATAGAAACACAGAACAATTCGTGAGGTTCGCTGGTTCGTTCCGTGGCTTAGTTGGTATAGCGTCTGGCACGGTATGCTATTAGACGTCGGTTCGAATCCGGCCCGATAGAAGGAATTTTTTCTGAGTTTTCAAGACTAGTTAGTTTACTTTGTCTTAAACACAAGTATATATTAAAATTAATTAAGTGAAAAGTATCATTATACTGCCATTTTAATTTTAAATAAGGTGTAACACATTGAATTTATTTGTTATTAAGTATTTATTTATTGTGATGCTGATGAATCCTTTGACTGATTGATAATAAGTTAAATACATAATGTACGTTATCACAGAGAATCAGGTCTCACTGTCAATCGATTAGTAATTATTTATTTACATCCGTGGCATTACATATACCGACTATAGCAACCTTTGGAAATGTCGAGTATTTATCGAGCTTTTCTAGTTGCAGATAATAATAATACGAAACAACACGAAGAGGGAATCGACAATAAAGGATATGAAAATAACAACTCTGAAAAAGTACCATCTGAACCAGGTACCAATTTATTCAATACATTTTTCTAACCACACGGTAACTAATATGCTACATACAAAAGTAACTAAGTTACTTTCTCAATTTCAGAAAACATCGAGGATCCACCCGTAAAGGGAGTTTTCGAATACCCTAAAGGCGAATCAGTGTTGGCAATAGTTTGGTGGTGGTACACTTTGCCCATCCGATTGATTCTGTTCATTACGATTCCTTCACCATTCACTTGTAGAATGTTCTATCCGTTCGCCTTTTTCATGTGCATCGTGTGGATCGGTGCCAACTCGTATTTGGTATCTTGGTGCATGACAGTAATTGGTAAGTTTAGTTTAGTTCAATATCACTTTTGATAAAAGTAATATTTATAGTTACCCGTTTCGCAGTTGACCGAGAATGTAGGGACGTAACTTTAAATTATTCACTCACGGAACTGTGTAAATATTAACAAATGAATAAGGTGGCGTTAGTAACTACATTTAATATAGTTATTCAATAGATTTAATCAAGATTTTTGTTTCTTAGGACACACCTTCTATATTCCGGATTCTGTAATGGGAATGACATTTTTGGCATTTGGTGGCTGCCTGCCGGAAGCATGTTCAATTTTCATCATGTCTAGAAGAGGTGAGTAACTTTTATCTAGCGTAAACTGTTCTTTTACGTACTGCTAGTGATTTTATATTTTTGATTTATTCTTGCATTGAGCGGAAGTATTAGTTCAATGCGTTAATATACTTGATAGTGTTAACGCTATGCGAAACAACAACATGGTGCTTGGTTTTTTTATAATACTAAATGACGGGAATCAGTCACGTGTCTGGTGGTAAACGGCACGCCTGTCCAAAACAGTTGCTGCACCACTCTGAGCTTTAAATAACAAAGATCTGAGGGACACTGTCGCTGTACCCGTCACCGTGAGACATAAGTTGACAAGCCCCATGTGCCCGTAATTTCAATTTCATTCATCAATTTTTAATGTTCGTGACCTAGTAGAGAAGGGTTCTCGAATTTTCAATTTGTATTGCCGATAAATATTATGTAGTGAATATGCCTAATTATTAACTAGGTAACCTTGGATACGTAATTTCAAATACCTTGATTACCTTATTTAAAAATACCTGCGCAAAACGTAACATTTTAAGTGCTTTTGATATATTTTTAAAATTAATCTTCAATGTTATTCTACTTAGTAAATTCATGAAAAATATTATATTATATCGATATAAATACCTAATGGACATGTGTAATTATTAGGATTCTATTATTAGAATTATAGATAACAGATTCGGGTTAGATTTTTCGCTATGTTGCCGCTCTGACCACGTAACGTAATAGTACGAAAAAGCGATGGGTAGCCCTGCCACTTCACGCACACATTTGCGTTGTGCATATAGCGATTTGCTGTATGTAGTAGTAGAGGGTAAATAACTTTCGACCGGTGTATAGAGTGCCTGGGAAGTGCTAAAACTAAAAATTAAATTCATTAGTCTGATCTTTTCTTTCTACTAGGTAGAAAAAATCAGACTAATTACTTATTTGATTTAAATTTGTATCTTACTATATGCTTACTAAGACTACATATTTTATTACCTAATTACAGAAATAAAACAGAAACGCCTAAGCTTAACATAGAATTTATCAGTTATTGTTATTTATACCTTGAATCGATCATATGCGTTTAACAAATTTAGATAAAGTGCTTAATTTGATATCGAGGTAATTTATTATTCGTGACAGTGGAGCTGACGCTTGCGAATTATTTCTGCGCTGTTTTGTGTCCAAAAATAATTGATGTCACGCTTATCTCAAACGTTTCCTGTTGAAATAAATTAGTCATGCAGATAAATAATGTGTATAACTAAATTATTGATAATAATCATCTATACTATTGGAATGATAAATAAATATATATCTGATGATCAATTCAAAATCAGTAGTGAAAAGCCCGGTGGCTATATTACTCATCTCTCACCTGGCCATTTTCTACCCACGATGGTGGTGTAATAGGAATTGTTGTCGTGCTGATTATGTGACAGTTATGTACGTCAGGAACAATGTTTGATTTAACTGAACATTGCTTCAAAATCCTGTCAGACCAGATATTTTGAGTGAAGCAAAGCAAATTATGCGTTCTAATACTCCAAAATAAATGTATGAAAAAACCATAGCATGCCCATTTTATGTGGTTTTAGAAACAACTTACTTCAATGTTCTTTGACTTATAAAATAAAATACGATTATAATTCTAATTGACCATTGATACTTATAAAATACGATTATAATTCTAATAATAATAATAATAATTCTACTGAATATTATTTTTCTCCAAAGGCGTCTGAAATGTGTACTTGACAAGATTTTAGAAGACTGAATTGCGCCAATGAATTTGGTTTAAAAAGTTAAATTTTCACGTAACAATACCGTACCTTTTGTAAAGGTGATGCATTTTTGATCATTTCAACATTTATAATTTAATTATCGAATTCTTCTTCTTTTAAATGTTATGGCTCCATCGAAATAATCAATGATTTTGTCAATGTCAAGTAAAAATAACTATGTACGGTAGTTTAATATTATTATAAAAAATATACAAAAAAAATTGCGATTTCGCCAATGTCGTGTGAAGATATTATTATCGAATTCGTAGAAATATGTAACTTTTACTCCGTCCAACCATTTGTTTAACTTTTGACAGCTGGAATTCAATAAATTAGTAATGTCCTGGTGCGTTTTCGTTTCGATTTTTTACAACAATCGATTTTATTTGTGAAGAATATTTAATCGTGAATGTGAGCGGGTTCAAAAAAGAAGATATTGTCTGTTTGGGATTGTTATGTTGCGTTTGACAATTTGTGTACTCAAGATTTAATAATTAAAGTTAATGAGGATTCAAGTGATGATTCTCGTTCATATGGAGAAGAATCCGACGATTCATTATAATAACCAATAATAATTTACTATAATTATTTATAATTTATTGAATTTCATTATAATTTATTAGACAGGTACAAAATGTATCAACTTGAATAATATTCGTTACATAAGCTGTTGGCTCAATATATATCGGAGCCAACGACAAGTCGCTTCATTAAAATTAATAAATAAGAGTCCGGAAGGTATCACATTTTATGTCTATGGTTATATGTCAATAATTACGGAACTGCGGAGGCATGTATACGTCAAAAGTTAAATAAATGGTTGGACTGAGTATTGTGCTCGCGCCATTGATAATTATATGGAAGTCGGGTCCGCGCTAAAAAGTGTCCGAACTTATAGGGCGTTTAAATCGTATACAGAGCGTCATTCACGCTTTAGTCTTCGTTTGTTCGACTGACAGCGAATCAAGCAAAATTAGACAGTACTGCGATGACATTACAATTTAAATTCAACGTTTTAGCTTTTTCATGTTCCTTTACATGTCACTACGTTTAAATAGGTTGACTTGGGACATTTTTTTCGTGGTTTTTGTATTAGACCCGTCGTCCATTTATTTGTAAGTCAATGGCTCGCGCATAAAAAAATGCATTGCGTATGAGTACAATTAAATAGATTTGTTTTGTTACAGGGGAAGGAGGTGTCGGTGTGTCTAATGCACTGGGGGCTAATTCCTTGGCGATATTATTTGCCCTGGGCACGCCATGGCTCATCAAGACTCTCGTCCTGGTGGGTCAGGGTGCAGATGAACCTGCAATTGTTATAGACTCTAGTGGTATTGCCTTCGTAGTCACCTCCCTGCTCTTAGCTGTTACTTTACTATGGGTGATCTTATTTCTTGGAAAATTCAAACTAAGAAAGTCTGTTGGTGGCGTACTCTGTGTACTGTACCTAATTTTCATCACATTTGGTATTTTAGTCGAAATCGGTGTTATATTTGATATAGAGCAATTAAGCTTCTGTTTCTAAATTGCTGTTTCAACGGTTTGTTGTGCAATAATTGAAATGACAAACTTTGCCAATAAAAGTTTCTGTGATGAGTATATTTATAGCTAGATATCGTCTTTTAGTTCGCTAATGTCACCCGTTTATCGCATACAATTTATAAGCTTTTTTTGTTATGGGACCCTTGACAATGTTTTCTTCGTTTGTAATTATTTTTCAGTAGCATAAGCTAAAAAATATTAAAATTTGAGCAAGTATTTATTCGCCGTGCTAGTAACTTTCTCAGATGATAGGTGTTAGCATTGTGACATGCAATAAATATTTATTTGGGTAAGTGTTTCGACTGAGGACGCGAAAGCAAAGCCTTGTTGAGAATGCTACAGAGGAAATAGATGACAAGAAAGTTTAGGCATATTTTAAGATTTACTTAAAACATTTGATGCGGTGTCTGTCTTAACTATTCTATACACGTTTGATGATAGCAGCTCGGGGTTTGGCGTATATGATCTTTGGAAGCTATTTTATGAATAGAACACATACAACCAGATTAGCTCATGCCTCAGCAATGATTTTGTGGTACCAGTATTCTGCAGCGATCCAACCCTGTTCACCGTCTACATAGCTAAGTTTTCTAAGCTATCTCTTTAAAACTCGAATATTCATATATGCCGACGAGACCTTGGTGCCGGTCCTTGACACATAACTATTTAGAAAGAGGTCGCTGTGTACAAAATGAGGTATCTTGATATTAATTTGCTTATGCTAAATGCAGAGATCCTTTTTCTTTCTATTTCTCCAAAAACATCGGCGACATACGTATTCTATCCTATCACATCCTAGTTGTGAGAGCCGATCCTTTACCCGTATAAATGACATATCAGGAAGTTGACATAGACGAAAGTTTAGTGGAATTAACAAGTTGAGGTGACCACAGTCAGAGGGTGACACATTATATATGCTTCAAGTGTCACAGAAATTCTGCTGCATGGAAAAACCACAATTATGACTTGTTTTTCTAACAATCTGTCATTTCTTACATAATAAAAGCCTGTGGGCCATTATCTTCCTCGATGTTCCACTCGGTTTCATCAAAGCGTAGATCTGTCCCTTTCCCAAACCCAAAAACCGAAGAAACTAACCGGTTTGTCCTGCGGTATCACACGGAACCACCATTGCGCGACAGCCCTTCTATGTTTTAGGCAGTTTAATCTATAACAAAATTAAAATGCTTATTTCAGCAGACTTAGACACGATTACACTCAAAGGTACAAAGTCGTTAAAACTGCTCGTCTTTAACACACTTAAAAATCTGTTATTCTTCATTGCGTGACGTAATTAATTGAAATACCCAAATGCCTGCACCATGAAAAACATACGCACCCTTTCACTCTCTCCAAACCACAGACAATGTCACATATAATGTATATGGAGTGTAGCCAACTGGCTACATATAATAAAAATATACAATATGTTATCCCTTCGTATACTATATAAATCATCATCATCAACAGCCTGTCGTAGTCCACTGCTGGACATAGGCCTCCACCAATGCGCGCCATTTCGCCCGTTCCTGCTGGCAGTAGATGGATGCACCGAGTTGAAGACTACATAAATACTTGTTCTTGTTAAAAACTCGTGTTAGTAAAAATAAATGTTATAAATAAATGTTTATAACATTTGTTTTTACTCTACGTAGTACAAACTTTACAATTATTCTCACGAGGTTTTTGTTCGCGTTCTTACCGCTTAGCATATAATTTGCTCAAATTTGATAACACTGACTTGTAGATAACCACCTAGCTCAAGCAACCTAGTTCAAGTATTTTTCTTCTGGAATTATTCACGCCGTGTAATTTTGTAATGCCTAAAAATGTAAGAGTACAATTTTAAAAGTGAAAATTTATGTACTTAATTATGTTATTAAAGAGTTAAGAACTCTTCGCGGTTTTTACAGATAGGAAATGAAACTGTTTTTCCGGATTTAAATCGCGTATATTTGTTTTTTCAAACAGTCAACCGTGATCATGGGACCTGTAAAGTGCCCGAAATGTCGGTTTGTTTGAAATAACAAATATACGCGATTTAAATCCGGAAAAATAGTTTCATTTCCTATATATTATTAAAATTATTATTATATTAGAGGATATAGATCATGGTTAGCAAATAAATATGCTGTATAGAAATTACGACAAGAACACTTTTCGACTATTAATGAAAGATATTATTTACTAATCTTAAATGTACATATTTAATTAACCGTACGATCATAGTATAATAAGAAAAATAAACTCCATTTACACGCCGCAGCGCGGTTTGTATAATGTGCCCGCCAGTCGTACACTTTCGCATAATTATGTAAGTTGCGTGAGATGACCAGCGCTAAGCTATATTATGCGAACGGTCCGCGCTGTTACGTTTCTATGGAGTTACCATACTTGTTTTATTATACTATAGTAAGATTTTACTTACTGCAGCTCATATGGGCCTTTATAGGCTGAAGCCTGCGGGCGCGAGCCCTTGGAAAATAATATTTTGATATGAAATTATTTTTACAGTTCTTGACTAAAGTTTTGTATGCATCAATTGTTAATCTTTGTTGCGAAAAGAAGACTCATGCGGGGTACCATGTTTATATTGACCTAATTCACCGTAATCTATACGTATTTTCTATATTTGTTTCATAGTTTCACGAACGAGGGGATTACGGTTTATTTATATATGTAAATATATATAAATATATTACACGAATAAATTATAAGTTGCAAATTAGTATAACATTTGATTAATGTAACATTGTTATTGTTATATCTTTGTGCAGGTTCAAAATTTAGATAACAATTTGTGGTCCCTAAAGTAATTTAGAATTGAAGGGTGTATTTCGTACGAGGTGGTGCGTGTGTGGTATGGATTTCTTAATGGAACATATAGGAAGGAGCTTAGAGCTCCTCTCTTTTATGAGCTCTTAGATTTTAGGAGCCAGTGAAAATAAAGCACAATGATTGGATGTACTTATAATGCATGTAATGATAATGATGACAAATGAGCTTTAGAATGTAATGTTAACTTTAGTAAATTTATACATACGTCACTTGTTTACAGAATGTCTTATTTTGTAAAATGTGTATGAGTTTCATAGGTTCTTATTTTGTAATAAAGTATCTAATTGTGGTTGTAGTTATATAGTATAGCACAATCGTTTAATTTTTTTGGTTGAAATTATATCATACTCAGTTAACAATCATATGCATATTTGTAAGTGAAAGTATGTTTCCATTCAGCGTGCTCAAAAAGACCTAAGCGATCCGACTATTTAAAATTACATATCTCAGCATTTTATACTTAATCAGCATTTTATAATTTGGTAAAAGAAAAGTATGGTAATAAACGTATATTGCGTACGTAATTTCCATGGAGCAAAATATATTTTACCATTCGGACCGGCTGGTGGTTTGGATGACAGATGGCGGAATGGTGAAATTCAGCGGTAAAAAATAAAAATTATTTGTTGAAAAAATAATAAAAAATAAATTAAAAGAAAACAAAAATATACAGCCTAAATACAAAAATTGTATACATACCAAAAATATACAGCCTAAATGCAATAACCAAACGGAAATTAATTCAACATTTATTAGAAAACACAGTGCGTTCGAAACAATGGTTTTCAGTTACAATCCGTAGATAGTCACGGAACATCATATGCATGCATACTCACTTAAATTAATGAAATAATTAAAATATTATACATTAAAACATAATAAGAGACGTGTGTGCGTGTGTGTAGCTGATAATACATTGTAATAACTATATAAGTGCATATAATTTATAAAAGGAAAATTACATTAAAATAACTATTATGCCGACTAACTAATATTACACAAATAAAAAAAATCGTGCTTTGTTTTTGATTTTCCTACAAGAAAGCTTTAAAAGAAATGTTACGAAAAGAAGGGGGAAGATTATTCTAAGACTAGGTGATGCAAAACTGAAACTGCCTCTGAAAGCTGCTATGCGATAAGCATGAACGATAGCCCCAACCTTGCGTTTGAAACTGCTCTAAGACGAAGCTAGCTAGTCATTATAGGTACTCGGATGTGCTTTGGTTCTCCCTATAGTGAATGACGACGAGCTAACATGTTTAAAAAGCCTGCAGTGTTCAAACATGGAGTGATATTCTTCCACCCGGAAGCAAAGGCGTGTGCATGCCCATCTTTGACGTTGTATTTATCTGTTAGATTTACCAAGAATACAACCACTACAGACAACATCATAATATAATACGCTAAAATAGTATGTTCATACAACTTAAGTCGATAAACACGTTTAATTAAAGTAACGGATAACTTACGTATAATTCGAACTTAATTACAAGTTGGGTATTTGCTCGGCATGTTTACTCTGTGGTCCTTAAATAATTAAGGATTTGTCCTTGTATATAAATAATGTTTAACAAATTTAATTTACGACTTAAATACGTGAGGCATCGGTTAGTTTATAGTCTGCCTTTTTTGAAGACGGAGTAAAATGACAGTTCATAGTGCAAAAGTGTTGCCCGCTTGCAAGCTTCCAAGCTTGATTGCAGTCGATAAACATTATATCGACTATCCACTAAATGTTGGTTACGCTTATGAAATAAATAACCGAACTTGTTTCATTTGAATCATCATCGGCCAGTTATGCATCCAACTGTTGGGCACAGGTTCATTTGAAATGTTAATTTTTGAAAATTCATACATAGACTAACTTTAGCAGTATGTGTATAAAAAATACAGGAAACATATTTTCAAGTTTCTCATTTGAATTAATGTACATAATCAAATCCACCTGTCGTTATTAAAATGTGTACCTATGACTAAATTTTTTTTTTGATACTAATAGATCAATAGTCAAAATAAAAAAAGAGTACAGTAATCATTACAACGTTGTAACATTCATAATTCAGACATTTTTGCCAAATGTTTACCTACTTTCACAATCTATCGATAAAATTGTCGACAACAACTACATGACTATTAAACATTTTATGAAAACTGGCAACCCTGCAAATGTCATTTTACTCCATCTTCAAAAAACAGATTATAGTTAATATGTCTGCGTTTTATACTTAATATTACTAGGTTTCTTACCCTATCGACTCATTCTAGATATTCATCTATCCATAACAGCAATACAATTGGAGGCAAAAGCAGTTACATAACAATTTGTTCCAAACGCCATCTACTTAAGACTTACTCGGATTCAACACTAGACTGCTCCTTTCAGCCCACAACGTTGCACGACCTAGATCGGCATTCACTGAGGCAATAGTGTCAGACAGCTTACCCGATACGATAATTGCTAAGAGTTATAATATTTTATTTATTAGTTGTGACAGATCTTGTTTGTTAGTTTATTCTAAATAAGCAGGTTACGACAGTAAGCTGTCGCTACATGGATGATAATAATTATGGAGCGTGACTGGTGAGTGTTCATTACAGTGGGTCACTGAAACAAAAAATTCAGAAAAAAACGAGTGTTGTGTTCTTTTATGTTTTTTTTTAAATTAAAAAAAAAACTATGCCTGCTATATTCCAGTGATACTATCACGCTCTACTTGAATAAATAGTTAACTGAATAAATATATTTTTCATATTGTCATTAAACTCTTTGAAAATTGTTATGACTAACATATTAATGAAAACTAAGAGCTAAATTTGTAATTATTATATAATTTACTAATATAAATACCAAATGATGACAATAATTCAAAAGTTATTCTGTAAAACACATATTTATACGTTACGTATGTAACTTTGAGTAGGTACAATTATTTTTTTTTACCGACCATGATTTGACAAATGTGACGTAAGGAATTATTAATATACTTACGTATGTTAGGCATACAGAAGGATTTGGGAATATATTACATCCATGGCTTGTAATAAATTAAAGGAATATGATACAATAATAAGTGAACTTTACATTACAAATTTATTGTAAATATCAAAAAGAGTAATGCAAAGGGACCACTGGGAAATTTGAATTGTCTTGGCAAAAAGCTTGACACTTGCAAAAAGGTCTGGAATTTTAAATAACAAAATAAAAACGGCAAAAATCTC